CTCTCTCTCTCTGTCTCTCTCTCTAGCGAAGCAGCGTAAGATATGATCACTCGACCTTTGCGATCGCTTTTCTTTCGCTTCAAGAGCACGAAGCCTGTAGGAAGACTGGCCTCAAAACCAATGGCCCAGGCATAATGCCGTTTTAGCTCGTTTGGTATCTGTCGAAAGACCCAATCCTGATATTGTTGCGCATTCTCACGCAACATCCCAAACACTCCAGGATGTTGCCAGGTGTTCAGTGCGGCTCGCTGCTGAAGACAAATTCCCACCGAACATTATCCCACAGTTTGGTGGAATGATGCAATTCACTCACGAACTGTTGCAATCCTTCCTCCCGGTCTGGCTTGTCACAGACTCGGCCATAAAAGGAGAAGGTATCACCTCTGGCCGGGCTAACTCTACATCAGTGGGCAGTGCATGGCAATGACAGTGTTCACTTATACTTTCAGATGCAGCCGTTATGCAATCTTTCTGCATTTCGAGTGGTAGCCGGACTAAGCGCCGCCACAAACATGAGTCTACCACCACAACAAGTTCGTCATCTCCGGATGACTCCGTTAGATCTCCATCGTCTTCGTGTTCGTCATGTTCATCAGGTTCTGCACCCATGACGGCCCAATCTCAATTTCGGGATAAATCTCGGATCCTGACTAAAGGACCACATCTAGATCCTAACAGAAGGTTTACCGAAAACCGGCAAAGCCGACAAGCGAAAATTCAGCGAAGTGCTCAACCGATACTTGTCCCATTCTTGAAAATTGTTTTTCAGCTTATTGGTATTGCTCTGTCATTCTGTCTTTAGATGTACAGTTTTTAAGATGCTCAAGATGTTCTGAGACAGTTAGTGTGCAGCCATAAAACGAGCCGCAAATGATGCTGGCATGCCGCTGCCACGGGACATGGTCCAATGCCCTGTGTATGTCGCCAGTGACCGATTTGCTTCTGAAGGTCATTTTTACTACCGGGAGACCGACTTATGTCATCACAGGATGACGTCTGTCTCAGCAACCTGATTCTGTAGTTGTTTAAGTCTACACTCTTCATTCCTTCATTTACGCAGAACCCGTGCAGGTGTAGAAATCGAGACTTCGTGAAGCACCAGCAATGAGTCTTCAGGATGAATCCATGAAGATTGTGTACCGTCGTAGCTGCTGCGATTTTTGCCTTGACAGGGTCCAGTATCATGCCACGGAAACCAAGATCGCGATCTACACTGAGTTCATGGAGATTCCACTCCACTGGGCAACAGATGGAAATCAATGGTGGAAAGTATGGTTTTCTAGACACACAAGAGTAGTCGTACTGAAGACTCTGCCAGGATCGCAATCAACATGAAAAGTCAACATCATCAGGTCACTGCATCCGATTCGCCTCGCAAGCGAAAATGATCCATCGCCGTAAATGAGCAAGCTTTACTTCATGCATCGGTTTTGCCAGCAATCAGTGTGATGGTCATCAGATCACCCGATGTCCCTACGGGAGTTTATTGGATAGAGCTAATGAGCTACATGTTTGAGCATATGCAGACATAAAACATAAGCCAGCGCATGCATTTGTCCAGCATCCGTTCATCGCAGCTTTAATTGGTTTCAGTGCTTGTCTGTTTCAGTTTCAACATGTCGAAGCGAACAGTGACCATGGCTGGCTTACCATAGCGCAGCAGTCGCCTTCGGCTAGAAATCATCCGTCCTGAAGACAATCTCATGCAGCCTACACGAACTGTGTGTCCACCTCAAATAGAGGTGATCGCCATCACTCAAACCATTGTCGATTTCGCGAAGAAGATCATCGCTATCCGAGTCCATGAATTGACACGACAGGATATATCTCATCATACCCTCAAGCTGGTCCAGAACGGACGGCGTGTGCCATGCTTTAGCTCGATTACCGAGTTTGTTGTCCATCAGCCGGTTTACTTGGTAGTCGCGGTGCACCATTACAAATCCTCGTGCCGACGCTGAGATGACTTAAGTCGCCAGCATTGTCTCACTCGCATTTTTTGTGATGTACATAAGTCTATTGAAACTTTTTACATAATTGCCCCAGTGCCTGCTTGTGTTTGTCAGAAACCCTGTGACCAAAGCGGGGCAAGCCAGTGCCTGCATAGCAGAAGAACCAAGTCTCCTGAACTTCACACGTGACCGTGTCTGCAAGTCAGTCCTTTGCATGCAGTTTTTTCCTCATAGCAGCCTTGTGCCTGTCATCATTTCCAACCACGCGTAAGGAGGACCTCCCCAAGGCATACCAGAAGAAGAAGAAGGAAACCCCGGCAATACATTGGCCGAAGCTGATCAAGATCATTCGGCTTCTTTTTTCAGCAATTGCAACCCGAGCCGGGTAATTCGAAGTCCCATAGACATGTTCGATGCAATGCGAACTTACTACGGCTCCACCGCAAAGGCCATCAAGTACGTGTCCAGAAGCCAGGTCGTTTTCGCAAGCATGTTATTAAAAGCAGGGACCAGGCCAAATCCTTTGCGTTTGCCCAGAATGCACAAGCAAAGAATAAACTTGTGGAGCTCATTGGAATCCATCAAACAAAGCTGTCCACAGTGTCCTGAGGATATCACCCGGGACGCCTGGTGACATACTTGGCATGTCGATGTGGGTATCACTGTACTCGTAGAACGCTTAACCGCCGATGTGGCTAACGATCTTTACCTTTCGAGTAGATTTACATTGCAACGTAAGCAAGTCAGAGGGGGGAATGCACGAGTGCGTGTGTGTGTGTGTGTCTCTGTGTGTGCGTGTGTGTGCGTGCGTGCGTGTGTGTGTGTGTGTCTGTGTGTGCGTGTGTGTGCGTGCGTGCGTGTGTGTGTGTGTGTGTGTATGTGCTTCTGTGTGTGTCTGTGTGTGTTTCTGTCTGTCTCTCGTGTGTCTGTCTGTTTGTCTGCGTGTTTGTCTGCTTTCTTGTGTAGCATATCAAAATCAGCGAACACAGACATGTCCAGATCCGAGGAGCGGGCAGAACAAACTGCACATGCCAAATCCGACGTGCTTGGCGAGACGGTTCAGGCTCATGGCCGGGCCGTGACGACACAGCAGTCACCGCAGCTAACCGCAGGATGGATCTGCCGCAATGAATTCCGAAGCAAGCTCGGCACAACAAAGCTGCTTCGTTGCAACAACAGAAGCCGACGAGCCCGTCGGGTCAGTGTGGTTGTCCAGTTGTGATAGTTGTGGAACACATATTGACTCGGGATGCAAGGGTCATGGTTTTCAGCGCATGTCCCACCCGACGCCGCTGCTAGATTCTAGATAGGAAGCAGTGTTGGCGAAAATCAACCAAAGCATTTCACACAATCTTGCGATCAGCTCTTCCCATCCTCTTGTGGCTAAGGAGCAGCTCCTGCCAAAAGTAAAGGCAAGTCCATCTCTGCCAAGGACCATCGAATGTAATGCTCCATGGTCTTAAGCTGTAGATTTGCGAAGTTGAAATTGGCGTGGAGTTCCATGTCAAGCATCCCTGCGTAGGGCATGGGCCCACCTCCCAAAGGGAAAGGCCAGGGGCCTCAGCAAGCTGCTGGTGTCGCGGATATATGCGGATGCTTTGGTCATTACAAATGACACACCATGCCACACCCACTCAGACTCGGATTTCAATCTTTGGCCATGTCTTAGCTGACAGTTGGTTTTAAGCATTGCGGGGCCGCTGCGGACCAACGTGGAAACTGATTATTTGCAGAAGCAATGAACGGCAATTCCTGTCTGCCTGCCTGCTGTCCTCGAGACTCCCTGCCGTCCGGTTCCTGGTCGATCGAAGCTCCTCCTCGCAAGCTCAGCTTGTTCATCTGTCACATGCTTGACGACTCGTTCATTCAAATCGGGCATGAGATGTCGCTTCTCTGCGCGACTTGGAGCGACGGCTTCCATGTTGAAAACAACCAGGTGCACATGCGTTTTCCGAAGTGCCTGGCTAGCTGCAGAACATGATGGATGGCTGTGGGGAGCCACAACTTTGCCCGCTTCCGACGGTTTCGTTCATTGCGGATGAATAACTCACGGTTCTATATTCTTGAAGGTCTGCTGCCGAAACCAAGACAACAGTTTATGCTGGACATCCCTCATCAGGAACTTGCTAGATCTTGCTAGCACGAGTTGCTTAAAGGCGCGTCATGCCTCTTCCCGAGCTGAAGCAGATCTGAGGCAAAGGCTCAAACTCTTCAGCCAAGGGAAAAGGCAAGGGCAAAGAGGCAAGTTCGGGAGACGAAGTCAGTTCGTCGGTCTTGCCAGTCTAAGTCTAAGTGTTGAAGTTTAACCGAAGCGAGGAAAACGTGAAGATACGGGCACCCCTCCGCTAGGCCAAGGAGCGAGAAGAAGGCAAAGCCCAAGGAACGGCCCCGTTTGGACGGAGAATGCATTGGGCACCTTGGAATCTCTTCACAGTGTTCTAAGCTTGAACGCTTCATCAGCAGGTGCCGAAAACTGTGCCAGAATGTTGGCTTGTCCTCATACTGAGGTGCAGCCCCAATACCAGCAACCTGAGCACGACACTGTGTTTGGCGATGCAGATGCTGCCTTTGATTTGGATACGGATGCATTGGCATCCCTGCTCAACGGCGCCTGAGCACGGAACAGGTGCCAGTGAGCTGTTACCCACATGACTGTGACGACATGCTTCGCGATGCTTGTTGGGCTGAGCTGAGGTACCAGAACAAACACTGCGCCGAAGAGTCGTGCCTCACATCAAAAGAAAACTGAAGGGATAAAGGCCGGCGGCTTTGCGTGTCCTGTGCTCGGAATTGGGTGCTTCATAAAGCAGCCAAACCTTCAATTGTTTGCGGGAAAGGTTCTCGATGCTTCAAGGGCACAGAACATCGCCATCGTTTTGAGCAAGCTTCCAGTGTCGTCCGAGGACGTGTGCGAAGCGCTAGGGACACTTGATTTTTCTCGGCTTGCTCTTTCAGATGACATGGTGGAGCTACTGACGAGTGTACTCCCGACGCCAGAAGAAACACAAAAGCTGCAGAGCCACAAGGATTGTCCGGAGCAATTGAGGGACATTGAGCAGAAGGTGTTGCCTTTCTGTTTTCTGCCCCGGGCAACTGCTCGCTTGAGACTTTTTCGGTTTGCCGCTTCGCACGCAGAAAGTGCAGCAACGTACCTGCAACGGTGTCGCACCCTTGATCTGGCAGCGATGGAAGTCAAAAGCAGCCAAGAGCTGCGGAAGGTCCTGGCTCTGATTCTGCGCATTGGCAACTACATCAACCATGGAATGAAGGACATGGGTGGCGGTGCCTTTGCTTTCTCCATTGAGACACTAGCTGCCATTACAAGTTTTAGACTTGGCAGCATGTCCACTCTCCAGTTTCTTTGCGTGACCTTTCGCCGAGCAAATCCAAGTTTCTGTGACCTTTTACAGACGAGTCTAAAGGATGTTCCAAAGGCGGCCAGGGAGAAGAGCCTGCATTTAAAGTCCTGCATCCAGGCCTTCCAGAAAGAAGCTGACTTCGCAGAAAGGGAGGTGTCCTTAATGCCGGAGGATCAGCTTGCTTCAGAGGTCACGAGCAGACTTCTGCAAGATTTGCATGCAGAAGCTCTTGAGTTGGAGAACTCACTGGCGACAGCCTTTGGTAAGTGCGACGAGGTGCAAGAATACCTTTGCACATCCGAGGACAAGGCAAACGATGCGGCTCCACCTCCCTACGAGAATTTGTTCTTGCACCTGTCCGACTTCCTTGAGTCCTTTCGGAAAGCCTGGAAGGAGACGGAACCTGTTCCCAGTCAAAAAAGCCGGTTGCAGTCGAAGCAAAAGACACGCCAGCAGCGGGAACCTTCCGAGAAGCTCCAAGACGGCGTGAGCTCGAAGATCATGGCCAAAGCTAGTCTGCCGATTTGCCGCAGGGCCTACCCTGACTCAAAGGAACCATTGCCAGAGCGAGAAAGTGCGAAAAGCTTGCGGCAAGTTGATGCTGCACAGGAGCTGGTTTCCTCCACGCACGCGAAGCAGGGCCCCTTCTGGGCGGTGGATCTTGATGTAGAAGCACTGCTCAGTGACATTTTCGCAAATGACGGCGATGGGGAGGAGGTGGTTACGTCAGAAGCGACACCAGGATCAGTTCGTGATCATTCAAGATCCTTTGGGTGTGCAAGCACAGACCAAGCTAGCAAGAAGCACTTGTCCGGCAAACCCTGCATACAGGTACGTGAAGATGTCAACGTAGATGACCTGATTGACAGTATCTTCGACTAGTCCTTTGCACCTCTCGCGGCCCGAGGCCCGAGGGGGCCACGGCCACAATAATTCATATTCACCAAGCAGAGAGCGGTCAAGCATGGTTTGCAACATAAGAGGTCTGAGTCTAATGCAGTTTCGTCTTTGGCGGCTTTCGTGCTTGGCATTCTTCGACGGAGCTTATTAATGGTTCTCAACTGCCACAAGATTTGGGAATCCACCCTCCTGAGATTAATTCGGGTTTGATAGTGAGTCGGAGCCGGCGAACCTTGGAAAAACACGTCTTCGCAGTTCTTGTAAAGTTCATGGGGCTGCTGCTTGGGGTGTTGATTGCTTCGTTAGGGCATGGCAATGCGCGAGTTGGTTGATTGGCACAGACGGGTATTGAAGACATTTACTTACCCTATCGCACGCGCGTGTCGGTCATGTTTGCTCAATGACGTCCCTAGCCACTAGCTTCTAGATGTTGAATATCCAAGGTGCATCTAGTAGGTGATGCGAGCCATGGAAGTGCTGCATGATGCTCCATATCTAGGCTTGGAGAGCAAGGCTTTGTCACATCTCAGCCTGTGCTGCGAGCAGCCTTGCCTCAACCTTGCTTGGGACTGTTTACCGCGTACCTACATGCGTTCAACCAAGCACCGAAGATGCGAAGGCCAAGTGTTTTTTTCTCTGCATCTGTGATGCTTTGAAGTACGGCGGTGTGTCTTAGAGTGACTCCTACACCCTGCATCGTCTCTCAGCTGTTCTAGATTCTAGATGTGACTGGAACTTTGTTTGGCTCTCGGAGAGCTCGTCATGTTTGTCCGCGGGGGGTTTGGACTGTACGTTCTCATACGTTCTCCATGTCGTCGTCGTTGCGGGCGTTGTTGTCGGTTTTCCTCCAGCTCGAGCATTCTGGTGAGCTGGTCCCTGGCTGATCCTGGTCTAGGAAGTGTTTTGGGATTGTAACGAAGAACATGCTGACCTTCTCTGGCTGTAAATTGTAGTCCACGGCGTCGAGGTAAAGGAGCGCGGCCCCAAGTTTGGAACAACCTCTTCAAAGGGTATGGTTTAGCCTTGGGTTTCGTGGCCGCAGAAGTCCTAGTGCTTGCTGTACTTCGTGAGCTGAACAATTTTTGGTTATCCGGAGTGGTCGATCACATGGAGTCGCCGGTCATAGGGTGGTCGGACGTGCACGAAGAAGTCAACATGGATCTACTGGCTGAACGCTGGCGATTGCATCATTTCACATTAGAACAAGCGGCTGTGGGTATAGTTGTGGCTGCGGGTATGCAAATTAATCAAATGATCCAAGACTCCAAGAGCTTGCACGCGGAGAAGGTGAAAGTCTAACAAGTGTGGTTGCTGTTGCGTAGAAGCGATTAGAAGCGGGCTTTTCGATCCGCGGCTTGCCATGAATGTTGTGACCGGTTCTTGAAGGTCATTTCAAGCGTACTCCTTCGGGTGCAAACAGCCCAGACATGAAGAATAGCAACACGTACTCGATGTAGTTGTCGTACCTGACATTGTTGTAGTCCACGGTGTCGAAGTGCATCTTGTACATGGTCGGGAACTCGGTCTAGAAGTGGGCTTAGGGTTTAGGGTTTGGGAGCTGGCTCCGCAGTGAAGCTGCTAGGGCTGCTTGCTCCAACTCCAGGCGAAGTGGAAAGCCTGTTGCCAAAAGGGTTTGGGGGGTTAGGGGTTTAGGGGTTCAAGGTTTAGGGCTTAGGGTGCGCCCTGAGTCCGAACTCATCCTGATTCGCTCCTAGCATTCATTCTGACCGCCTAGCAATCGGAGTGCGTCCCTGCCTGACAAAGTTCCTTGCAGCTTTCAGTGGCTTCTCAGCGCCTTCTTCCAGGTTAGAGTTTTGCCAAAGTGGGAGTTACCCTAGAACGGGTCGTTTCGACTGTGCTTCAGTAGTGTTAGTTTTTCATATTCAATATACAATTGTGTCTTCCCTTTGGTTGGCATCTCGACAAGAAGAACATGCCATTACTTGTCATTGCACAGCACTGCTGACAGGGACTCCCCGGAGTCCACAGATGTAACCCTGGACCTTGGACCCTAAACCCTTCTTCTTGGTTTATCAAAGGCCCTTAAGCTCAAACGCGATCGGCTCCCGTTGCTCGGCTCCGGCTGTTCCGGCTGCTCCGCAAAGGGTTAAGAGATGAGGGTTCAAGTAAATTGACAGTGTGAGCCCGCGCAAGGGTTTAAGTAAACTGACAGTGTGAGCCGCGCGAGGGTTTAGGTAAATTGACAGTGTGAGCCCGCGCGAGGAATTAAGTAAATTGACAGTGTGACCCCCCGCGAGGGTTTAAGTAAATTGACGGTGTGACCCCCCGCGAGGGTTTAAGTAAATTGACGGTGTGAGCCCCCGCGAGGGTTTAAGTAAATTGACAGTGTGAGCCGCGCGAGGGCTTCGGTAAATTGACAGTGTGAGCCCGCGCGAGGATTTAAGTAAATTGACAGTGTGAGCCCCCGCGAGGGTTTAAGTAAATTGACGGTGTGAGCCCCCGCGAGGGTTTAAGTAGATTGACAGTGAGCCCCCGCGAGGGTTTAAGCAAATTGACAGTGTGAGCCCCCCCCAAACCCTTGGGTGAAAACTTTGGCCAAAGGACAACGTAGCAACACAAGCGGAAAACTGTCCTTTCAGAAACTTGGCATTTCCTATCCTCATCGCTCGCTTAATCACAGTCAGAGGTACTGGCCGTAATGTCACGGACTCCTGCAATGGGGTCGTCGCGTTTTAACCTCGATTCGGGCTGCATTAGATTTGGCGACCATCAGCTCAGGGAGTTGGCAGCTTCTAGAGCCGTTCCCGAAATGTTTTGGAAACCATCAACTGGGGGACGCACAAGTGGGGCTCATCCTTACATGATGCACGAGTTTCATTTGCTGTTTGGGCAATGGCCATGGGAAAACTGATGAGGGTGTTATCAGTTGCCACTATTTGGAGTTTCCGCTCATTTTCGTCTATAGTGAGTGTGCTAAGTATCGTTTCCCAACCACAAAAAACCACCTCACCTACAGTCCAATAACGCCAGCCCTTTCATACCTCTTTTTGACGAATAAAAACGTATTTGTACATCATATTGTAGGCCGCAGGCCGCAGGCCTGATAAAGTCACTGCTTTGGTGCAGACTGAAAATATCTGAACAAAAAACAGGGAGCCATGGTCACATCCATTTAAGGCTTTGGCAAAATTATATTTGTCATTTTTGGATGACGTGGATCTCAGACAGGGAGTTCTCACGGTCCCCGGCGCTAGGTTCGACGAAGGCACTCTTATTCGGAGTAGAGGGTAAATCTTCATGTGCCGTTCAAAGACTATGTAAATATATTTCATTGGTGGAACTCCAATGTTGAGAATCATTGATTTTGATGACGAACTTTGCAGAATTTACCAAGCGTAACAGGAAGGGTCAACAATTTCTCATGCAGGTCAGCTAGAAGTGGGTTATATAGGTCCAGTCGCAACATGCAGACAAAAATTGGCAATGGAATGGGCCTATTGACCAACATACTGACATTGAGCCAGCCTGTGGCTCCATTTTTGGAACTTGACCAGATTAGGGCATTCAGATGGCACGGGGATCGACAGAGTCCAGGCTTCATTCACATCAGCTACTGTCAAGATTTGGCTTACCAAGAGACCATTATCGGGTGCACACAGGGGTCCCTGTGGTAGTTCCGTATAGCATGTTGCCGCATAGGAACCATGTCCACAAATTATAGATATTGACTGGCATTCTCTCACATGCTATCGACACATGAGTGAAGGGTCTTTGCAATCAGGTCCTCCGTGAGTTGTGTTGTCAGCAGCTTGCTTGAATACAACGTTTCCTAGGCCGGTCAAGATGACTGACCACCATGCTTGCAGTAGATTCTCGTGTGGGCACGCCATGAAAGCACATAATTAGCCCAAGTAACATGCCAACGTTTGCATTTTTTCCTCCTGGAGTTGCAGATGCCGAAAGAAACGTGTTAGCCTGAAGCACTGCACGTTTTCAAGCTTGGAGCGTCCAGGTGCATCGGCGGCACGGGGCCTGTTCGGTCTTCAGCTTCAGTCGTGGCGCATGCCTTGGATGCCGCGTTACCATGTAGATCTCTACTGACCCACTATTTGATTATCGTGAAAATGGAGAGTAAGAATCATTGTCCTACCCTAGCCTTGAACCGCAAGTCCCAAGCGCAGTGTCTCTTGAAGTAGCTTTGTCCGAAACCTCGAAGCTTCACACACCACCCCAACCGATCAACAGCTGCAAGAAGCAGTCTGAATTCCTCATCATATAGGGCTTGGCTAGGCGCAGATGAAGAATGCCACAGTCGAGTTGTACATGCGGCTAGTGCTGCTTTTTCTATTTCCACAAGAATCAGGTTCCACTTTTTTGCATCGTCAGCACCATCTGTTCTGCTGCCGAACGACAAGGAAATTTCTCGACATGACCGCGTCAACATCACGGTTCCGTATGCAAAACCTTATGCAGGCTTGGCAGGCCCTCCATGATCCAGTTACACTTCCTGAAGGCCGCACGCCGCCTTGTTTGCGGCAAGCCTTGTGCCGTGCTGGTTGCTCTGGTAGTGCTACTTTTGCTATTCCCCTTGGTGCCGAAGCAGCTACTCTGGCCATAGGTCCTTTGTCTTTGCTGTGTCCTACGTTCCCCCACTAACCGGACAAGCAATCATCGCGTGTACTTTGCCAACGACAGGGCTAGAATCTGCCGAGGCTTTGGAGGCCCAGGCACCACAGGACGCATCTTAGGCGTTGTTGCAGGCACACTGAAAACTGTTTTGTGCTGGTTGTGCTTTACGCTGTTTTTTATAAGACCCTTTTCTTAACAGCTAGATGCGCATCGTGACAGTAGTAGTTTTGACGAAAGAGAGGCTGTTGGGTAGTGCGCCATGCGATTAGTTGTGACGCCAGGAGTGCTGAGCCGGACATGCCTGTGCTGCTGGAATATCTGCCAGGGCCCTCAGCTGCGACTCGTCAGAGACCTTTCCCTGTCATCTTGTGCACAGATCATAGCTGGGCACA